CCTCTCTGCCCACCACAAGCCATAGCTCACTCCTGTCTCCCAAGGGCTGGTGAGAGGGTTCAGCGGGTAAAGGCACTTGCCACCAACCTGATGACCCAAGTTTGATCCCCATAAGGAGTGAAGGAGAGTTGCCCTCTGACCTCTATGCAAGTGCCATGGCATATGTGTGCCGACACAATACACAGACATGTAAAGTTAAAAAATGTCTCCAGCAATTGCTGCACTTGAAGAGCTCATCTGCTGAACCCGCATGGTGGGAAGAGGAAGGGAAGGGCTGGGGCCGCAGCTCAGTGGTAGAGTGCTTGCCTGGCACCCACAGTTCAATCCCTAGCACTTCCAAAATGGTAACAATAACAGCAGCAATAATGGTGACAATAACGATAAAGGAGAAACTAGGGGTATAACACTGCCTAGCGTCTCCCAGTTACTGAGGCTGTGACATCGGCCATAGGAGTATGTACATCATGAAAATTATCAAAGGCTTTAAACCAGTACTTAATATTTTTCTGGTTGACTTAAGATGTAAGGATAATATAGTGATGTGTTAATAATGCAGATTAAAGGTGTGGTGTATACATTGCTATCCCATGATGAATAGCATGATGTTGCAGAAATGATCCCGAGGAACAATGACACTTGGCAGGAAAACAAAACAGAACAAAAATCGCATGCTCAATTGTCCCAAATATTGCTAATGCATTAAATGCTGGATCAGGTAAGTGAGCTTGAGTAATGTCAGTAGCCACTATTTTTTTTTTTTTTTAAGAGAGAGGGAAAGCCAGAATTTTACCACGGAGCCCAAGATGCCTCTAAATTCACAGCCTCAGTCTCCTGAACGCCGAGTTTACAGGCAGTGGGGAGCAGCGGGGAAAGACAGAGGTGGGTGAGGACTGAAAAAGGAGGCAAAGACTCTGGAGTGTTATGCGGAAGCAGGGACACAGGAGCTGGAAGATGGAGCTGATTCGATAGGACTTTTCTTAAATACGAGGCACTAAAACGTGAAAATATTGTTAGAGATGGAGAAATTAAAGGCGCAAGGGAGGGTAAAGGAAATGCAAAATTCTTTGAATAAGGGCACGAAGGCTTCAAACTAATCATGTGAAAACACCACTTCTAAGACACAAGGAGTATGTGTAGACCGTTGCTCAGGTCACGACTTTACTATACCCACGTGCTCACTGCCGATTCCGATGTAAGGATAGCAAACCAACCCCTTGTCATGTGATTCAGAGGCAGGACAGCAAGCCAATCTCAGATCAGTACCCTTGCTGTGTGTAGCTTCGACACAGAACCCGCATTCCCATCCTCTAAATTTTACTTTCGCAAGAAACTTGTCATGATTTTGCCTTTTCTCTTTACCTTTAGACCTTTATACTGAGGGTCAAGACAGAAGCCAACAGTAACCTTATTCGCAGTCCTTTAGAATGCTCTCTCCATCTCTAAATATTTTAGGGAGAACACTTAAAGCCAAGGACTGCAGAGTGTGGGGAGGAATCCAGAGGTGAGAAGTGGGTTAGCAATATCCTCAAGACTACAGCCCCCGGATTAAGGAGAGGCGGCAGAAGGGATTGGTGAGCTAGAAGAAAGCTTTTCCATCCGACCAGAGCAACTGCGCCGGGAGAGGGATGTATTGGAGCTCACTAAGGGTGTGGGTGTTCAGGGTCCCGCAACGGGCCAAGTTCACACCAGACGCCAGGGAAGAAAGGAGCTGGGGAGGGGACACATCCCATGACTTGCCAATCTCCGTGGCCAAGCTCTCCGCTTGTTTCCTTGGTAACGACGCAGTGGGAAATGACAATAGCTCCTCCCCTCTCAAGCTTCTTCTTAGGCCCCGCCCCCAACCTTGACGGTTGTGGTTTGCTCTGATAGAAGGCCCCTGTCTTCCGTTCTCCGTGCTGTAGAGGCAAAGGACTTAGGAAAGGAACTCAGAGAGATTGCCTGCATGTGACACGAGGCCGCAGTCTAATGCTATTTCCAAAGCTGAGCTTTTTTAGCGTGGCACAGGATTTAAGTAAAAATAGAGGACTTCCCAGCAAGAGTGGTGGAAAATAAGCTTGTCTGCCATCAGCCGCTCCTCCGGGCACACGGTCTCCTAACAGGCTGCACCAGTCCCCTTCACCTGAGCCCGCCTACAAGCTGAAGGACTTGGAGCGAAGCATCTGCTGTTGCCCCTGTTGAGATCGGCTACAGGAGACGGATGGCTTGGGTGGCTTTGGCAGCCCAGAACATGGTTCTTCAAAGGTGCCTGGCGGCCTGGGTGGAGACTCCAGGAGCTCTGCCCCTGCAGGCTGGGGTGTTTTTAGGCAGGGGGTCAGCAGGGGGGCTGCGGCTGGGACTAGATCATTCAGAGTCCTGATTTTTAAAAACATGTCTCAAAATCAGTCGTAGGATGTTTGTCTAGAAAGCCATGGACCCCACCCCCTCTCCAGCTCTCCCACGGAAAAAGCAAACAGTCAAACTCAGATACTCAAAACACAAATCTAAGAAACTAGCATCCTAACTTTCTCATCATGCCCAGACTCAGGAAACTGGGCGCTGTGGGCCTGGTGGAGAACTTACCTAACGCTCCTAGGGACCAGTGTACCTCCTCTTCAGACCCCTACGACTTAAATTTCCTAGAATAAAGTCAGCAGGGTTTACCCAACAAAACTACTCAGGAGTCAGGAATTGGCCAGGCTGAAGGGTGTTCTGGGAACTACAACCTGCGATCTGCCCATTAGCACTTACAAGAACAGAAATGGAGCCTCAAAACCAACTTAATTATTTACAGCCTGGTCAGCCAGTAAGCTGTTACAGCTCATTTGCCTGCTACTTGGCTGCAGGGACTTTTGTGGCAAGCTCAAAATCAGGTACTAACGACCATCAGTCTCTATGCTCATCTGGCTCTCTGGGCCCAGAGCAGGCGTCCAAATCCATGGGTGACAGAAATTCCACTGTAGGAGTAAAAACAGAATGTTTATCATATTACTCCTTTTGTAAGTCTCTATGCCCTTCCAAACTAGTTCAAACAGTGGACTCCTTGGTGACTTACCCCCAAATGCTGAAGTCTGAAGTCCTGGCACAGTGGACAAGCAGTTGTCCGTGGAAGGTTTTAGGGTCACCTGTCCATCGGCAGTAAAGCAAGCAGTGGCAGGAGACTCTCATGACTCGTAACGACATGACAACTGAGCAGATGACGCGATGTATGGTGGGAAAACAGCTTTCACATTTCTCCAGGGAGTTCGTTTCCTCTGAAGTTTGGTCCTACTTGCCACCTAGTAGTCTACAATAAAGGTGAATCCTTGGAAAGGATCCGAATGACTCTCACAGCTGTCCCTAAGACCATCCTGCACATCAGATATTTACATTGCAGTTCAAAACGTAGCAAAATTAGTTACGCAGTAGCAACAATAATACCTTTTATAGTTGGAGGTCACCACAACATAAAGAACTGTATTAAAGGGTCACAGAATTAGGAAGGTTGATAACCACGGTCCTGAAGCCTCCATAACCTCCACAGACAGCGCTGCCAACTGGGGACCAAGTGTTCAAATACCCGCCGAGCCTATGGAGACTACGCTGCTTAGCTCTTCGTCAACAAGCCAGGGCCATCTGCAAAAGGGGAACCTCTACCCGGAAAACGCCTCCATCAGATTGGCCTGTGGGCGAGTCTATGGGGACGCTTTCTTGTTTCCAGACTAATGGCTGGTGTGGGAGGGGTCAGGAAGGAGCAAGGGAGGACGCAGAAGGGGTCGGAGGATTAGAAGAGTGTAATGACACTTACGTAGGACAACACCATAATGGAACCTGTTACTTTGTAGGTTAACTTGAAAAACGAGTTTTTTTTTTTTTTTTTTTTTTTTAAAGTGGTGTGAAGCCTAATTTTTTTTTTTGTACTTCTGAAGAATAGGATTCAGAGAGAAGGGCCATCACAGCAGTTTTAGTTCAGTTACTCATGAGGATGTAACAGAGATGGAAGTCAGAGCAGGGCCTTCAGAGATGGCTCAGGGGTTAGGAGCACTGGCTGCTCTTATAGAGGACCCGGGTTCAGTTCCCAGCACCCACGTGTCAGCTTATAAGCATCTGTGACTCCAGTTCTGGGGGATTCCAATGCTCTTTTCTGGGCTCTGTGGGCACCAGGCATGCATGTGGTGTGTGTGTGGGGGTATTAACATACAGGCAAGCAAAAACTCCTACACCAAAAATAAATAAAATCTTTTAAAAAATAAAAAAAAATCAGGTTAGAGTGTCATAGACACACCAGGGTGGTGATAATCTTTCTTAAAACAAAGCACATGACTTCCAACTTTTATTAAGAAAATTTGCTTTATTTAAAAAAGAGTATATAATAAAACCACGTGACAAAATTCTAGACATAGTTTTTAATATGGCATCATGGAAAACACTAATATCATTTTCTTTTCCTTCTTATATCCTCTGTGGATTTCCTCTTTTACCAGGTTGACATTTTTATTGTACAACTTGACTTATATCCATAGTTAAAAAACAATTTAAATATTATAAAAAAGGTATAAAGCAACATTTCCCTTCTCTCCACCTTCCCCAACACTGGCAGTTTGTCCCTCACACTCAACCATTTTCTTTTTGTCTTTGGCAAAAGGTTTTCACATTCTGTGTCTTCTACCTTTGGTCCTTCCTGGACACATCGTGGGAAGCTCTCAGTCCGGCATGGTTAGAACTCTTTGTTCTCGTCAGTGGTGTGTGCTTGTCTCCTCAATTCCTCCGCTCATCAGCATTCACTACTGACCAGTGACGGCCACTGAGAGTGTTTGAAGCCACAGGCATGGTTGACAGTTTATTCAAATGAACACAGCTGTATCTTTACACCCTTACATCCCTCTCTTTTCAAAAGTCAGCTTAAAAATACTTTTGTTGAAATTCAAATCTCCCTCCAGCCCCTCCCCAGGCAGTCTCCTTCACTCTCTCTCAATCCATGGCTTCTGAAGCCAGATACACTTTAATAATAATTTCAGGATTAAAAGCGGCTCATGGATATTGTGGGTAATAGGTGAAGGGAAAGAATCAGGGTTTAAAATCCAGTTTCTTTCACTAAGATATATTCAAGCTAATAAACCAAAAAGCCGCGTAAGACTCATTTCAAAGGCTGTGGTCAAGCTGGGGAGATGGAGGATTATCTAGATTTCTTGACAGACTCGTTACAGTTTGGATGAGAAATGTTCCCTGCAGGTTCACGTTGAAGACTCTGTCTCCAGTGCAGTGCTCCAAAATGAGGCTCGGGAGGCCCTGACAAGTCCATAGAAACCGCCCATCTGTCTCAAGTCGCTTTGAACTGTTAGGACGGTCCGTCACCAGACAGCATCAATCTAAAGACTCAATGTGTCTACACCAAACCACCATTTGCTTTCTGGACCTGGGGTTACAGAGGTAGAAACAGGAGGCAGTCTCTCTTTCCATAAGCCATTTCGATAAAGCCCTATCCTCCATGTACAACAGAAGATAGTCTCAGATGCACCAGGGTGTGGCCTCAGGACGGCTTGTCCTTTAGTTCATACTACATGGGTAGGCTTTAAATGGGTGATGGGGTAATTGGCTTGATGATACATTCCTGTGGCCTAGTTACAATTACAAATTCCCGTGTTCTTAGTGGTCCTCGGGAGAACAGATAGGACCAAACGAATGCCCCAGCTTGGGGAGCACAATTACTCCAGGAGATCTTGTTTTAGATTGCATTCTGTCATGAACTGCATCTGGGATCAATGGAGCTCTGAGGAATTAGACGTGAATTTATGGTATGAGACTTAGATCTCGACCCTCGGAGGCAAGTGCCAAAGCCTTTATCTTAACGGTGCAACCCAGTGAAAGAGGAGGCTCTTTCCATCTGTCTGTGGATCCAGGGATGAGTAGCTGCCTCTCTCCTTGGCTTATTAGAGAATCCCGGGATGCTGAGGCTTCCTGAAGCTGGCATAGCAGTTTTCGAGGACTCTTTCGGAAGGACAAAAAGAATAACTATCTCTTGTTGACAACTGTAATTTCTTATATTCCTAGTATATAGAGGATAAAGATAGCCACGGGAGCCGCCATCTACATTAATAGCTATGCTGTCTTTAATAGGTGTACAACCCAAACAGATTGTGACTCACCAGGGTAGGGTACAGTTTCCCCCTTGATTCTGTCTTAAGCTCTGGCAAAAACTTAGCTGGAAAGACTTAAACGGTGCAGTGTGTTCCTCCACCATCTCCACGGCACCTTAAACAGCAGCCTCCTCCTTAGCTAACCTCATCAGAGCTTCCAGCAGGAGGAGGAGACAGCAGAGCTGCCATCACTGCATCCGGAGCAGCTTGCGAGAGGAGAAACTACCCAGGCAGGAGCAACTAAAACCTCCCCAAACACTTTCCCTCCACCACTGGACGTAAAAGCAAGTGAACAAAAGATAGAAACAAACCAGTAAATGTGACACCCACAGATTCCCAGGGGATGCGTAAGTCCTTTCATCTACCATGATGCTCAAATGGGCAGTTTTCACCCGAAATAAAATGAATACCCAAAGGTATCAGGTAACACTGAAATTCACGATCTTTTTGCCTTAGCCTCATGAGCGTGGGATTACATGCTTAGCATCTCTCTGCATTTCTTTTTCGTTTTGGCTTTTTGTTTGTTTTGTTTTTTGGGACAGGGTTTCTCTGTGAAACAGTTCTGGCTGTCCTGGAACTCACTCTGTAGACCAGGTTGGCCTTGAACTCACAGAGATCTGCCTGCCTCTGCTTCCCGAGTGCTGGGACTAAAGGTGTGAGCCACCACTGCCCAGCTGTTTTGGCTATTTGATAAGATCCAACTGGGTAGTCTGGGCTGGCCAAGAAATCACCACTTATCTTAAGCAGGCTTTGCACTAAAGAAATCCTCTTGCTTCCACCTCCAGAGTGCTGGGATTAGAGGTATGAGCCTGATGCACCAGGTCAGGATCCCCTGTTTCTTCACAGCTTGGCATCTTTCACAAGTCTTAAGATGCAGCCAGCATACAAAGGAGTGTGAAGCCAGGTCTCCTTAAAGCTCTTCCCTCTCAGGCCTCTTCCTGTGGCACTGGCAAACGGATGTGCCATCATCCGGCTGGGGAACAAGTTCCATTCCATCACGTATCATGGGCTTGCTGGCCTGGCGCTCAGCGTATTTCTGAAATATGTTTGGAAGAGTGCAAGGTTTAGTTCCTGCTTCCACATCTCCACCTTCAATCATGATGCTTCAGACCCAAACCAAAGGTCTGGCCTATTCTAACCTCACAATTACATTTTAGCTTTATTTACTATAAATGCTGGTGAAACATCTCACAGTCGGGCAGGGAGCCCTAATCTACCCTTCAGTGTAAACGGGACACCTCTGGAAAAGAGATGCCAAGCCAGATGCCCCTTCTGGAAACAAACCGAGTCAGCACTTATCCTCCATTCTAATGAATAATTATCTTGTTGAATTTTCATAACAGTAAGATGAGCATTTCCAGACAGAGTGCATAGATGGCCACTTCCATCCTTCCTGGAGGGCTGGAGTTATAACCACGCCAAGAGGCGCGTGCAATGTTCTTTTACTCTGGTCAGGAATATCCCTATGAACCGAGTCTCCCACTCTGTTCATTCTGTGTCCACTTGGTTATGTATTCTTAGTATTGGGCGAATGCCAACAAAATAGTGATGTAACTAAGGGAGCCTAATTAACACGTTAGAGGTAGAAGCTCCTACCATTAAAATTAAAGCTAGGGCTGGTAAGATGGCTGAGTGGGCAAAGGTGCCTGCTACCCAGCCTTAAAACCCTAGTTCAATCCCTGGGACCTACATGGTGGAAGGAAGGAACCAACCCCGTAAATTGTCCTCTGACCTCTACCCCCGCCTCCCTGAGCTCACAAAATAAATAAATAAAATGTAATTAAAATAAAAAATATTAAAACTAGATTAGTAGATGTAGGGCCCTGGTCTCCTCCCATATTGAGTAAGCCATTGCCTGCTTGCCAGCCTTGACCAGATGTCCTCCCTATGCTAATTCCCTGCCGGTTTCCACCCTCCTGAATGCTTAAGGGAAGTTCCTTGTCTGTGTATCCTGAATATTGGGCGTTAACAGCTTAGATGCAAGATTGTAAACATCAGTAGCGAACTTCTGCTCTCTGGGGTTCTCCCATTGTGCTGTAAGCCTGTATTTAATGTTTCATCCCTCTTTCAATAAACAGCATCCGGCATTCTGCAGAGGCGAGTGACCCCCTGACTTTGTCTCTGCTTTTCGATCCACGGCCCCTCGCTCCGACATGGTGAACGGGTGGTGGTAGCACAGGTGTTATCACTACAAGTAGACAGGATGGAACCCATCTAAGGATGGCAAGACCGGCATGTGGGGGTGAGGGTAGGATATGGCTTGCTTTATTCCACCCACAGACAAGGAAGGACGTTTCTCTAAGAATCAACCACCAGGGGGCGCACACTGACAAGGTGGGAGGAGCCTCCAATTAATCTACTTCCATGGGCTCCAAGAACAAAGATTAAGTGTGGAGGCTCCAGAGAGTCTCAGTTGAACCCAAATTCTTTCCACAAGCTGCCCCTGATCCCCTCGGGAAGCATGGTACAAAGTGTCCGAGTCACGCACGTGGTCTAAGGAGCCCTGACCCATCAGATTGGACACTTCTGAACTGACCTGTAGCACTCTGTAATAGTAACAGAAAAGTTTGGGCGGCTGGAGCAGGTCCCTCGCAGTTAACTGGCCTTCTTTGGCAATCTTCTTTGCTTCTTCATCATTTTCCTAGAAGGAAAGAATGAAAATTGAGGCTGTAGCCCACAAAGAAAGCTACGTGCAAGTGCGAGAGAGACAGGCGAGGCGAGAGTCAACATCACGGGTAGGGGACTGCAATGGGCTGTAACACAAAGGAGGCCAGGCGGGCAGTTCACTAATGTCTGCTGAAGGGAAAAGATCCAACGTGTGTGGACCTGACCCTACGGCCTCACTAGCCTCTTCTGGTGCTTTCCTAGCTATCCAGGGAGAAAGCCTGGGGTCCATCACCTGCCTCCCCAGGGAGAAAGCCTGGGGTCCATCACCTGCTGCCCCAGCGATGATGCCCTCTGCCTAAGAACAGAATGGATCAATTTTCATGTTAAAACGCACTCTAAAAGTTTCAGCGTTGGGGAGATGGCTCTGCAGTTAAGTGTGTATACTGCTCTTGCAGAGGACCCCAGTTCCTTTCCTAGCACCCACCTTGGTGGTTGTCAACTCCAGCTGCAGGAGATCTGAGGCCTCTGGCCTTTGAGGGCGTCTTCACTCAAGTGTACAGACCTCTACACTGACACATGTGTAAAATTAAAAATAATAAAAAATGTGTTTTTCATAAAGCTTCATTCAAATATGCAGAGACAATGCTCTGTTACAAAGCAGTAGCCACAAAAGGCTATAATGCTGTTGTAACAAAAGAGTTGTTCACTCACTAGTACTCACGGGCTGTACTGCCAGGAATAACCGATGCTCCTTATTACAGTCATGGGAAACGCTTCATTTTCTGCACACTGCTGACAGGAAAAGCTATTTGCTGGCAATTGTGGATCTTAGGAAAAGCCAGAACAACGATTCTGATGCATTATTCCCATAACCAAATATTATTTCTCAAAACTTAAAAAAAATGGAAATTTTTTGTTTTATATTAGATGTTATAATAGAAGGATAAATTTTTATAGTTTCATAATAAACCATAATAATTTTTAATATTATTCCTTAAAAAAAGGAATTCCTGTTTTGTGGGGAACTTGCTCTTAGGATGCTATGTAGCTTGCGTTGGGTAAGGACTTGCGGATTTTTTTCCTATATGAGAAAAAGAAGAATACCAGATTTTCCTGGAATATTCTCTTAATAATATATAAAGCCTTCCAACTCTGGCCTTTTTGATCTGTAATTTGTATTGTGTGTTCTTGTTTTGCATATCTAAGTGCAAATAGTGAATCATTTAGAAAAATCTATATTACATAAACACTAGACTTCAAATCTCAATTTCAACAATGTTGGCAGAGGGTATACAAAATAATTCTGGTGTCCTTTCTTTTTCTTTTTTGGTTTTTGAGACAGTGTTTCTCTGTGTAGCTTTGCGCCTTTCCTGGAATTCACTCTGTGGCCTAGGCTGGCCTCGAACTCACAGAGATCCGCCTGCCTCTGCCTCCTGAGTGCTGGGATTAAAGGCGTGTGCCACCACCACCCGGCCCTTTCTTTCTCTTTTATCTGTGTGCCTGGGTTTATCTATATGTGGATTTGTGTACACAGGTGCAGTGACCGCAGAAACCAGAAGCAGCCTGATTCCCTGGAGTCGGAGTTATAGGCCAATGTGGGTGCTGGAAACCAGGGTCCTTAGAAGAACAGCAAGTGTTCTTATCCACTCAGCCATCTCTCTGATGACCCCTGATATCTATTCTTTAGCTATTAGAGGGAACACTTTTTTTTTTTTTTTAAAGAAAATCACACTTCCTTTTATTTTATTTCATTGTGATACATTAGGTCCTGATAGAACACAGGTCCCCCATATCAATACCTTTGATATTACCTAAGAAAAGGAAAATTGCATGGAACATACCTTGGCCCATTTCACCTTCTCTAGTAGATCACTGAGGTTTCTTTTAATGGGAATGTAGTGTTTCCAAGGCCTTAGTGCCACATAGAAATGTTCATAATATGGCGAATCCTGCTTCAGAACCAGGCTGTCCCCCAGCATGAGATATGGATACCTGTAGGCAGCCACCGTTCCATCCACATTCACCTGGTACTTGAACTAGAAGATTAAAAGCAAAAAACCTCATAAAGCCATTTGCTTTACTTCTGTTCCTCATCAGTACTTTAAAATTAAATACAGAGAGATGATTTTCCACTTTCCTATGTTTGTGTTTGCATTTCATTTATTGTTCATTCTCTTTGTATAAAAATTATAAACAGCCTGTAACAGCTCCCTTAGGACTGTTAGGACATAAGAACAAGTGCCTGTTTCAATTACATCTCTGAAGCAGAGAGTCCAGACTTCTGTAATCAAAGCACGTCCTAAAACTATTGTCAAAGTTCTCAATT